AACCAATTTGCTTTGTAACCTTTCACTCAAATCACAACATAAAAAGACAAATAGGGCGAGCTCTGGTGGCCTCGTGGCAGGAAACTGCACTGCAATTCCAGAGGTGCGCAGTTCAAATCCACCTCTTCGTGCTCTGCTGAAGAAGGAGGAACAATCACCTCCTGTACTAGTCAGATTCTTGTCAGATTCAATTTGACGGTACACACATTAAAAAAAAAAGACAAATAGACATAATTGTGGTACAGCATCACTGCAACACAAAAGCAAGTCAAACTGACAGGTGAGTGGTGGGCTAAAGTTTATAAAGAAGTGCCAAGCCCACACAGAGCCAAGATATTCCTAAGTAATAAGGTACTAAGGCAAAAACAAAAGTAACAGATGTAACGCTTTAGATCTTTTGTAAGTAGGGAGTCCTGGTGGAACAGTCCATAGGGACCTGTAGTCCAAATGTTCTGCTAACCAAAAGGCCATGCCTCTCTGGCATCTGAATCCACCAGGGACTCCTCACGAGAGATGGACAATCTCTACTCTATCTATCATCTCAGAAATCCAGTGGAGGATCAGCTACGAAAAAGTCAGGACTTGAAAGCAATGAATTAATTTTGTAAATAAAGTTGTAAGCAGTTAAAGGTGAGTACGTTGACTCATCAGTTGTTCCTTGAGAGGATGATGTGGCGTTATTCTTCGCCAAGGAGCACAGCCTTGGAGACCCTCTTGGACAGAAAGACCCAACTCTTTCCCATGGGGTCACTTTGAGTTGAGACCAACTCTACAGCAGCAGGTTTGGCTTTTGGGTTTTCCACTGAACAGGATGGGGTCTACATAGAAACATACAGAGGGTTCTAGAAAAAAGAAATACTTTCAGAAAATGACAGAGCAAGTATTACAGGGCAGAGACAGAAAGCAGACACTTTATTCTGATGCCGTCCACAAGGTCTCTGGCTGGCGCAGACTGTCTGCATGCAACTACTAAGCTAATGTCTAGAGTTTCAAACCCCAGTGGCACCACAAAGAAAGACCTCGTGTGGGGAGATCTGGTGGCCTAGTGGCAAGAAACTGTGCTGCAAAACCAAAGGCGTAAGAAGCTCCAGTGGCCTAGTGGCAAGAAGCTGTGCTGCAATCCCAAAGGCACGTGGTTTGAATCCTACCAGATGCTCCACTGAACAGGAGGAGCAATCTCCTCCTGTGCCAGTCGGATCCGATTAGACAGCACACAACAAAACAGACAAACAAAAACTAGAAGAAAAAAAGGTCACTTAAAAACAACCCAAAAACAAATCCACCAGATGTTCTGCTGGAGAAGGAGGGGCAATCTCCTCCACTGCCAGTCAAATCAGATTTGATGGCACACAAGAAAAATAAATAAAACCAAAGCGGGGGAAGACCTAGTGATCTGCTCCCACAAAGACTACAGCCCAGAAATACTGTCTTTTGTGCTATTCAAAGCCATCAACTGTTCCTCAGCTTTTCACTAGTCATTCCTAGCCTTTATGAAAGTTGTGACTTTTAGTACAGTTGAATTTGTCATCTTCTTCCTCTATGGCTTCCTCTTCTTATTTAAGAACCTTTCCCCCTCTCTTTTGTTGTCCAAGACTGCAAATCTTTATAGGAGGCCCCAGCCTCATTTTTCTCCTGAGGAAAACCTGATGGCTTTAAATACTATAAAATAAAGTCTGTGCACTAACACTTGGTAAAAAAGTTATAATAATGCTAATAACGATGGCAACAGTTGCGCTGTGCCGGCCTCACAATCTCCATGTGCTTCAGTCCATGGTTGCAGTCATGGGGTCAGCCCATCTTGCTAAAGTTCTAGTCTTGAATTAGAAGCTAAAATTATTCTTTCTTTGTGAAACTGATGAGAAGAGTGTATTTAAGTTCTTGAGTATACAGTTTCTATTGCAAAAAAATTTCTACAGACTTCTGTCTCTCTACTGAAAATTTTTCAATTTAACGCCTATCAAGCTTATAAACACTGAGAAAATGCCTATTTAACTGATGTAAAAGTTGTCACATAGCTGGCTTAAATCTTGAGGACTGACTGGGAGTTCTGCTGGTGTGGCCCATAGTGAGTTTCAATGCCTCTCTGCACTCAATCCTTGGCCTTCTCTGCCATCTTTTTACCTCATTCAAACACTCCAAGGCAGGTGCACAGAGCTGGTCATACAATTCATATGCAGCTTTAAGCCTTTATAGTAAAAATAAGCTACTCCTCTGTTGTTGTTGTTGTTAGATGCCACCGAGTTAAGTGTGACCCACAGCGACCCTAAGAACAGACCCAAACCCTGTTCAAGCACAATGTCCAACACACTGGAAGTATTTGAGATGAAGCTTTGTCACCTTTACCTCCAAAGAGTACTCTGGCTACACTTTACCTAAGACTTTTTTGTGTCTGTATTACTCACCATTTCTCTGTTCCAGCTCCTAGCAGTCTAAGTGAATGTCCTCTCTTAGCACAAGAAGCCACTCAGAGGGATTCTGAGTAAGAACAGAACCAGAAGCAGGGTCACTTGCTAGGCAGTCTAGAGACAGATAAATGATCTTTGGTCCACACAGCCAGTCTGAGGAATTGAAATCCTTATTTTTGATTGCACAGATGTAGAAGGTGGTTTCCCAAGGTCTCCAAATGTCCACACTGGATTAGTTCCATGCCTGAGATCTAAAACGAAAGGACAGGGAGGAAGCAGTACTGAGTAATCAGGGAGTGCCAGGCTCTTGGCCTTCAGCTCTGTGAGCAAGGATTCCCTCCAACCACCCAGCGGCACTTGCATTTAAGGCAGAACAGGCTTCAGCCTTCCAGGCAGCCACCTGCAAACTTTATGTAGCTCCACAGGCTTCTTCCCTCAGGCAACAAGATCACCGATGTATTCCTAACAGTGTATCAGAAGCTCCAAGGTCTGGCCAGGCTTCAAAGTTTGAACTGTATTTCCTCTAGGGATTCAGCCTAGGGCTGAGGTTGTGGGCTCCCTGTACCACAGCATGCACACCTCAATATTAATATGGGTGCTTTCAAAGGAAAACACAAAGTTTTTCAAGTTCGGTCAACAAATTAAGCTTCTTTGATTTATCATGTACAAACGGAATGCGTCTGCTGTACTTTGCATGTTCATTTAACTTCTAGATTTGTACTATGTGACCAGTTTTGCAACAGACACTTCTCTCTCTTGCTCACCTACCACCCCTTTGGCTTTCTGTTCATGACACCACCAGTTCCCAAATTTCTAGTAACACTTTCACTGTTAAGGTAATTCTAGTAAGTAATTCATCAGAAAATAACTAGGTTTTAAGGAGCAGTCTCTGTCTACCGCCCTACCCCAAGCTATGACTTTTACATTCTTTTCTCAGTGTAACTGCTTTCTCTCACGCACACACATAATTTTAATAAAGGGTATCTCCCACTATGGGTACTATCTCTGCTTTTATTATTTTGAACAACACTAATATTAATAGCAATAGCAATAATTTTAATCCAGATCCTTATTCACTCCACAGTTGAAAAAAAGGCAGTCTCCTCCTATAAAGATTCACCTGTTGGAGGGTAGGCATGAGTTGGAATGGGGCATGACAGCCATGGGTTTTGTGGTTCTTGTTTCCAGTAAAAAGTTTCTTCAGGCTTAGAGGAAAGGACCTAGCTCAATGGGTAAAATCTTGATTTCTCTGAAACCTTTCCCCCCCCCCATCATATTATAGATGTTGAGCAAATTACTCATCAATTTAAGCTTCATTCAGTGTTCAAAATCACTTACCAAGAAGCATTAATTTTCTAATCGTTGCACATTTTGCATTTACTTAAATAACAGTGCTCTCCAAAGCAAGCAACAGAAAGGATGAGAAATTTTTGCAGCCTTTGGGATATGGTTAAGGATTTCTGGGATTTGGTTAAGGACTTCTGGGATCTGGCTAAGGATTCTGAGTAGTTTCCTGACACAGGTGCTACATTATGTATTCATTCCCAATAATAGAAACTCACACAGGAACACGCTGGGCATTTGCTCCCAGAAGCCTTAAACCTATTAAGGAATGTGGATCTCTTGTTGCAAAACTTGTGCTTAAACCACCAACTTCTAATCCTGCACATAACCTATCTCAGTCAAACTTTGATATTTAGCAAAGCATGGAGCATGTGATTTCTAAAATAGCTCCTGACCTTGTTATACATGTTCAACTACATTTTCCATCCAAAGAAGTGTGTTGTTTTAGTGTGCCTCTGACTCATAGCTGACCTTTCAATGAGTTTTCAAAGGCTGTGAATCACCAGTCTGGAAACTACACTTCTCTCTCCCTCAGGGCAGTTGGCAGATTTGAACTGTGTGCCTCTGGGTTGGCAGTGGTGGGCACTAGAGCTTCCTACAAACTTTGTTGTATGTACTGTCAAGTTGGAATCAACTTACAGCTGACCCTCCGTTGCGTTGGGTTTTAAATCGGGTTGTATAAATCGCACGGGAGGAGACTGCCCCATCATTCTCCCTGAGAGCAGCTGGTGGATTTGAATTGTGTGCCTTTGGTTTGGCAGAACAACTCCCTACCAATGGCTATACTGTTTCTCACACAATCATGGTGAAAATCTCTGCCCAATTAGAAAAAAAAAAAAAAACAAAGTTCTTTGAAATATGCCACTTTCTATTTTCCCCAAAAAAATGAGGCTTTATATGATCCTAAATGCACGTACTAGTTCTCACTCACGATTCATAATTTCTAATGGCTTAAAAACTTGCAACTATGAAAATAAGGGGAAGGTATTTCTCACAATTTTACTGGACAAATGGCCAGCAAGACTCAGCAGAAGTCCTGCCTTACCGAACCACTGAAAGCCCTGGGGAGCTTGGAAACAGCAGTCTGGAGGTGGCAACAGTCCATTTAGACTCAAGTTAACTACGCATAACTTAAAGGACGATTCTAGTACATTTTAGGGGACAAAGCTGGTCTGTCCTTTTTACTTAGCAAGGATTTACACGATTTTACCTGTTAATGCACCGAGACCCTAGTCCCGTTTACCTACTCGCCTTCGGGACCCCGGGAAGCTGATCAGGGACACGGGGGGAGCAGGGCTGTCGGCGGAGGCGATGGTGGCGGCCGGCCGGGGAAAGCGGCCGCGGGAAGGCTCCGCACAGCGGCCTCGGGAGCGGATCGGGAGCCGGGAGAGCGCAGGAGGGCGGGCCCGAGTCCTCGCCCCTCGGCAGCACCTGCTCCGGGACAAGGCGGGCGAGACACTCACTCTACCGGATGCTGGAGTCAGAGCGGGACCAAATCACGGTGGGACCAAACCCGCCACTGGTCCGAGTACGTGTACTTCCGCTTCCTGTTTGTGGGTTTCGGGTGCCCCTGGAAAAGGGGTCCGTGACCACGTAGTGACCTTGGCACTTAGTTGCTTAAGACTTGAAGTTGGTATAGACGTGAGATCAGTCATCTTCTGCCATTATTTCCTTTACAGAGAAAAGCCTATTTTTTTTTTTTCTTGACTACGTATATACAGTATATAAACCCCAAATACGGTTTTCTGTAGTGAAAGATTTCAAAACTAGTATTTGACTATCTGGCCTTTTATATTTTTTTTTTAAAGCTGCATTATTTAGGGAAATAGAAGTGTGGCATCAAGATTGGTGGAAGATCTATTAACAATCTACGTTATGCAGATGACACAACTCAGCTTGCTGAAACTGAGGAGGACCTCATACACTTGCTGCAGAGGGTCAAAGACTGCAGCCTTCAGTATGGACTGAGGCTCAATGTCAAGAAGACAAAGATTCTCACCACTGGACCAATTGGCAGCATCAGGATGGAGGGCGAAGAGATTGAGATTGTTCACAGCTTCAGTTTGCTGGGCTCCAGGGTCAACACTCTTGGCACCAGCAGCCAGGAAATCAAAAAACGTATTGCGATGGGGAAAGTCTGCTGTTAGGGACCTCCCTAAAGTACTCAAGAGCAACAGTGTCTCTCTGGAGACTAAGGTGCACCTGATACAGGCCATGGTCTTTGCTATCACTTGTTATGCTTCAGAGAATTGGACAATGACAAGGAGGATAGAAGGAGAATTGATGCCTTTGAGCTGTGGTGCTGGAGAGGAGTATTGAATGTACCGTGGATTACCAAGAAAACAAACAGATTCATCCTGGAGAGGGTTAAACCAGGCTACTCCTTGGAGGCAAGGATTCTGGGACTTCATTTGACATACTTTGGACATGTTGTAAGGAGGGACAGGTCCTTGGAGAAGGACATCATGTTTGAGAGGGTGGAGGGACCGCGCAGGAGGGGAAGACCCTCTATGAGGTGGATTGATTCAGTGACTGGGTTAATTGGGATGGATGTGTCAGAGGCAATGTGATTGGCACAGGATAGAGCAGGGGTTAGGGCTGTTGTACATAGGGTCGCTATGAGTTGCAAACGACTCGACAGCATATAACAACAACAACCACCACCTCATAAAATATTTAGGAGCTCTGGTGGCTTACTGTTGTTAGTTGCCATGGAGTCAAGTACAGCAACCCTATGAACAAACAATAGACTTGAATCCTGCCCTATCCTGTGCCATCCTTTATCAAGGTTGATACGCTTGAGCCCACTACAGCAGTCACTGTGTCAATCCATCTCTTTGAGGATCTTTCTCTGTTTCACTGGCCCTCCCACCTTTCCAAACACGATGACCCCCACTCCAAGGAATAAGCTAGCTACTCCTAGCACCATGCCCAAAGTATGAGAGACAAAGCTTTGCTCTCTTTACTTTCAAGGAGCACTCTACTCTGGCTTAGCAGTAAGGATGCGCTGCTAACACAACGTTAAACAGTTGGAACCAGCCAGCTGCACCGAGGGAGAAGGATTGATAATCTCCTCCAAAGCAAATCCTCAACTAATTAGAGTCAGCAATGGGTCTGTTCCAACATGAAGTGTATATAACAACAACATAAATATTTGTCCATGTCTAGACTCCTAATTTCGCTTTTGTTGTCAGGTGCCCATATTTACAATTCCAACACTCTACGAATAATAGATTTGAACCTTCCCCTATTCTGTGCCGTTGTCACGATCTTCATCATACTCAAGGCCACTGTTGTAGTGACTATGTCCACCCATCTTGTCAAGGGTCTTCCTCTCTTTTTCTGACCCTCTGCCTTTCCCAGTGTCATGTCTTTGTCCAAGAACTGTTCGCTCCTGACAACATGCTCAAAGTGAGATGAAGTTTCACCCTGATAACTCTATTCTATGTTTTATCATCACTTTACTCCCAGGGAGCTCTAGTGACATAGTCCTTAGAAGACTGTGCTGCTAATACAAAGGCATGTGGTTCAAATCTACCAGCTGCCCTGAAATAGAAAACTGGGCCATCTTCTCTCCTGCGATTTACTGCCTCCCAAAAACTTGGTAAAGGGTTACTTTAAGCTCTTTTCAATTACTGGTCATGCATCTGAAAGTTGGGCAATGACTAAGGATGACAGAAAAAAAGAATCAATGACTTTGAGTTGTGGTGTTGGAGAAAAGTACTGAATCTTCCATGGACTATCAAAAGAACAAATAAATATGTATGGAGAAAGTACTACCAGGGTGCTCCTTGGAGGAAAAGATGGTGAGGCTTCATCTCATATACTTTGGGCATGTTTGGCCAGTCCATGAAAAAGTGGAGGGTCACAAATGGAAAGGTGGAGGGGAAGTGTAAGAAAGACTTTCAACAAAATGGATTGACATGGACAGTAACAAATGGGCTCAAGTGTACCAAAAATTATGAGGACAGCACAGGATAGGGCAGGGTTCAGATTCATTGTTCATAGGTTCATTATGAGTCTTAGCTAACTCAATGGCACATAACAACAGCAAACAAGTATGTCTTTTAGTCTGTTTCTGAGTCAGTTTTTCCATCTATCTGTTAAAGTGAATCTTGAGGAAATTTCCCTTTGGGGATCAAACCTCAACTATGATATGTCATTATTTGCAATAGATTTGGAACCAAACCAAACCATACCTCTAGAGGGTTTTAGAAGTTAATCACACAGATATGGAGAGATAATAAAACCCTGACACACTCCCTTCCTAATTTTAAACCATATACTGCCACTTCCTAAACAACATGCCTCTGGAAACTCTATGAAATTTGATAAATGATGACACTTATGGAAAAGCTTCAGGCCTTTTGTTCACAGGGTCGCTATGAGTCATGCTCGACTCGACAGCAATCAACAACAACAGTGTTCCCTTGGTCTGTTTGCACAATAGCACAATAGCATCCTTGTCCGGGTGTAGGTTTCACAGGAGCACAGTTAAGTGTTCTGGGATTCTCATTCTTCTTAAAGGTAGCCATGACTTATGATCCACACAGTCAAATGCCCTTGCATTGTCAATAAAGCATAAATAGACTTACTTCTGATTTTCTTTACTTTCAGCCAGGATCTATATGACATCAGCAGTGATATCCATGGTGCCATGGACTCTTCTAAATCCTGCTGAACTTCTGGCAGCTCTCTATCTATGTACTGTACTAGCCATGTTTTGATGCTCTTCAGCAGTATTTTGATTGCATGTTACATTAATAATATTGTTCAATAGTTTCCACATTCTATTGGATCACCTTTCTTGGGATTGGGAACAAATATGGATCTCTTTCAATTAATTGACCAGACAACTGTCCTACAAATTTCCTGGCATAGAATGGTAAGCTCATCCAAGGCTGCATCTGTTCATTTAAAAAAGTCAGTTGGTATCCCATTGATAGCTTCCACTTCATCCATCATTACCATTGGCTCCTGCTCATTTGGTACTTTCTGAAATTCAGTCAGTTAATTTTGGTATAGTGATTCAGAGTATTCCCTCCATCTTCTGTTGATGCTTTCTGGGTCATTCAATATATTGTCTATAGCATCTTTCAATATTGCGACTTGGGGAAAAAATATTGTGGCTCAAGGGTTAAATTTGTTTTTAGTTCTCTCAGCTTGAGAAATGCAGAGTGAGTTATTCCCTTTGTATTGTCCAATCCTACTCTCTACACATTCCATTAAAATACTTTGTCTTCTCAAGTTGCCCTTTGAAATTGTCTGTTCAGCTCTTTGACTTTGGCATGTTTGAGAGAAATGTGGCATCAGTACCAGAGTGAGATTCGTCAATAACCTGTATTATGCAGATGACACAATCCTGTTTGCTGACAGTGAGGAGGACTTGAAGTACTTGTTGCAGAGGATCAAAGAACACAGCCTTCAATATAGGGTTGCATCTCAATGTCAAGGTGACAAAAATTCTTACCACTGGACCAATATGCAATCATGACAGATGGAGAAAAGATTGAAACTATCAACAACTTCATCTTACTTGGATCCACATTGGTACCAGCAGCCAGGAAATCAGGAAATGTAGTGCACTGGGAAAGTCTGCAGTTAGGGACCTCTTCAAATTATTGAAAGGTAATGATGTCAATTTGAGTACTAAGGTGCATATGTTTCAGGCTATGGTCTTTTCCAATTACTTGTCATGCATGTGAGAGCTGCATCATGAATAAGGATGACAGAAGAAGAATTGATGTCTTTAAGCTGTGGTGTTAGACAAAAGAATAAACAAGTATGTCTTGGAAAGGGTGCAGCCAGAGTGCTATTTGAAGGCAAAGATGATGAGGCTTTGCCTCACATACTTCAGGCACTTTGCTAGGAAGGATTATTCCTTGGAGAGGGACATGATGCTCAGAAAGGTAGAGTGTCAGCAAAAGAGAGGTAGACCCTCGACCAGGTGAATTGACATGGTGACTGCCGCAATGGGCTTTAGCGTGTCAGAATGTGTAAGGATGGCATAGGATAGGGCAAAGTTCAGATCTGTTGCTCATAGGGTCATTATAGGATTTTGAACATCTGTCTCACATACTTTGGGCATGTAGCCAGGAGGAACCGATCATTGGAGAAGGACATCATGCTTGGAAGGATGGAGGGACTGAGAAAGAGAAGATCCCAGATGAGATGGATTGATACAATAACTAGGGAAATGGGGATAAGTGTGTCAAGGGAAATGGGGATAAGTGTGTCAAAGTCAGTGAGACAGGCTCAGGATAAGGCAAACTACCAAGCTGTTGTACACAGGGTAGCTATGAGTCACAGGCAAATAGACAGCACATAACAACAACATGGATTGTACTCAACTTGACAGCACCTAACAACAATGACATCCTTCTTTCACAAAGCAACTAGTGGATTCGAACTGTATGCCTTCAGGATGGCAG